TTTGTTTTTTCAGCTACACAAGAAGAGGCTGCAACTGCATATGATATGGCAGCTATTGAATATCGTGGACTTAATGCTGTGACAAATTTTGACCTTAGCCGTTACATCAAATGGCTAAAACCTAACAACAACAATACCATTGATCAACCAAACCCTAATGTTGAAACTAATATGATTCCAACTCCAAATCATAGTATTGGATCAACCTCGACCACGACCACGACCACCTCTGCCTCTACCTCTGCCTCTACAACTCTAATTTATTCCCACTTTCAACTTACCTCGAATACCACCATCCCCGATGTCTCGGTAACTCAAACTCAGCCACCTTCTGCCACGTCAGCCCTCGGGCTATTACTCCAATCTACAAAATTCAAGGAAATGATGGAAATGACAGTGGCAACTGAGTGCCCCCCTGAACCTGTTGAGTTTTCTGATCCACCACAAAGTACTTTCCCCGAGGATATAAAAACTTATTTTGACACTCAAGAATTCGGTAATTTTGGTCATGACCAAGGAGAGGATATGAATATTTTTAATGAGATCAACTCCTTCATGCAGCCACTTTTGCAATTTGATTTTAATGCTTAAGTAGTCCAGAAAAATTGATATATATCAGATCAATTTTCTTAAAAATATGTTGCTTATAAGGAGATAATGGGAAATTCTTACATAGGAAGTGTTCATATCAATATTCCATCCAATTACTGAGAAGGAGCTTCTCATTTGGCTGATAAACACTTCCTATTTAAGTATTTTCCAAATGTGATTTAGGTATTTGTTTAGGAGAGTATGTATTGGCTATTGGGACAATTTATTGTAGATAGATGAAATAAAAGTTTACATTAACATTTGTTGTTCTTTTCTCATTCGAATAAAATAAATATAGTGATTTCTTTCTCATGTTTACTTGACTCATTTGCATGTCTATGTTTAGAATTACCAAAATTATATAGTGTTGGTAATATATGGAGTAACACTATTTTTTAATTAGTTTGTTCTAAAAGGATTGATAACTTTCTATATCGGGAAATTGTTTAATATTAATTTTTCGTTTTAATTACAGCGTTGAGACAATGAATCGAGTCGATTTGTATTTCCTTATATCATATGTTATTTTGCAGAGACATTGATCTCGAGTTTTTAATTTATCGATTTCATTTGTATCTTTCATGGGACTGAAGATCAATAAAAAAATAATATGAAAAATTGGTAAATAAAATACACGAGACATTAAAGGGTCATTTTTCGAGGATATGACCTCCCATGACCATTTACAGTTTAAACCATGGAAAATGATCTCACAAAGATCTCAATTGTTTTATTTATCTATCTCATATATATGTTATTTTTACTAATCTCCTGTAGAAAGGATTGTATAACTTACGTAATATTTGTAATGAGCCACAAAGTTAAATTGGGCAAAGATCACTTTTAGTCCGCAGCCGAAACTATTTACATCTTGTAGCCGCAAGGTATATAAATTTCGACCATAGACTTTGCCGCTTCTTGGGCCATTTCGACAAACGACGACTTGGGAACTCTTCCCCTAGTAATATCTTGGCTTAAATATTCTAAAGATAGATTTTGACCTATATAGTTATCTTTTTTTTTTTCTTTTTTCTAATAGATGATTTCTTTTTCTTGAACCTGATATTTAGACATAGAGTATTACTACATACAAACCCTAACTATTACATTATTCTCTATTTTCGAACAAAAGATTGTCCAAATTAACTTTGTAATTGGTAACGTGATAATTGCGTACTAATCCAAATCATATATTAAGTTAGATTACGAAAAAAACTTTGCGGTATTAATACACAGTACTTCCCCCTAGCTCCCCATTATATCTCAAAACATAAAACATCTCAGTACAAACCGTATTCTAGGGTTTCTAAAAAATTCTTGCATTACTATGGCTATGGCTATAACAGATAATGGCTATGAATGGAAGAAAAAATTGCCACCAGGCGTCAGATTCAAGCCAACGGATGAAGAACTGAATGTATATCTGAGAATTAAGAGTAGCAATGGTGAAATTCTACCTGGAATTATCAATGAGCTTGATATTTATAAGTATGGCCCTAAGGAGCTATCTGGTATATTTTCCTAACCCTAGATATTACAATTTCACAACTTTTCTTGAAGACTATTGTTGATCAAGAATGATAATTTTCTGTGCTAATGAATTGAGTTTCTTAGATTTTTCTTCTTGTTGTTGAGTTCATATTATTTTATCTTTGTATTATCCGAACTTGATCAAGTTTGTTCTTTGTTATAGTTCAGTCAATTCATACCCTTGTGTTAGTCTCGTATATATTAGCCCTTGCCATTAACAAAGCTCTAACATGAAATTAGTCGAGTACTCCACGCAGAGGCGGAGCCATAATTTAAAGACAATGGGTTCGGAATTCTTTTTCCTCTAAATTACTGGATTCTAAATTAATAATTTGTATATATTCAATAAATTTTTAAAGGCAAATATAAAGTTTGGATTAAAGCTACTGGTTCGCCGAACTCGCGTTCAAAGCTCTAGCTTCGCCCCTGACTCCATGTGTCCAAATTCTTCGACACGTACCCTTTGGTTGGTGTCAGGAGTCAAGGGCAAAAAACAAAACTTTTTTCTAATGATTATTAAACCAAAACCTTGTGGTTCGGCCCCGAATTCCGCACATAGCGGGAGCTTAGTGCACGAGGCTTTCCTAAGAATTGTTGTCGAGAATGATCTTAATTGGTGTACTAATCTGAGTTTCTTTTTTATTTTTTTGGTATTAGGGTTTGCTATTAAACATAGCGAAGGACGTATGTACTTCTTTACTCCATTAACAAATAAG